ATAGATAACGATGCCGAGTCAATTCATCCCTCACCATCAAATTCTCTTGCTCCCGCGGAGTGATTGATTCCATATCTTATGGCATAAGATGAGTTCTGCGCTGCAAAAATGCACGAATAAATTTGAAATTATAACAGAATACGCGCATTTGTATATATATCAAAATTGAGGCCGAGTTATCCATACTGGGAACTCCCAGTTCAAAACACGATAGTCCAAATTGACGAACGAGTCTGATGGGGATGTGATTTGCAGAAAATTCTTTAGAACAGAACATAAAATGACGGCATAGTATAATTCGCGCTGCTGCACCTCCATGTGGCGTAATTCTGCAAATGTGCCTCCATGTGCCATCTGTTGCGAAGGTGATTTCCTCTGGGCTAATCTTTGGCGGACGCTGTTCCATACTACGTAAATCCCTGCGCACGCTTTTCCATGTGGCATAATTTCTCCACGATGTAGCTTCATGTGGCTTAAGCTGCTCAGAGTTGTTCCATGTGGATCAATTTTTGGAGGGGCCCCCTCATGTTTTATATTCCTCGCAGGCAAGCTGTTTCGTTTGGCTTCATTATATATATTTCTCAATTTAATTTTTTGATGAGGATAAACCCTTTTGCCGCATTCCTTTCACGAGAATTTTTGGAGGCTTCCTTTATGATGACATCCCTCGCAGTATCCTTATGAAGATACCACTTCTGCCGGCATTCCTATGAAGATGCCTTTACCTGCCGCATTTTTATGACGATTTCTTCTGTGTCCTTCCTTCATGATGCTTTTTTTTTGTACATTCTAATTATGTTGTTTGTGCGAGTCATTGTGCTTTTGTCGTCTTACGTCACTGTGATGTGTATTCTTTCGCGGCGGCACTGTGATGCATACTGTTCTGCCGCGGTAGTATGATTCTTTCTCTCTTTGTGGCAGTCTTCTAAGGATGCTTATATCTGGTAGGTGACTATAATAATGGTTCTTTCTGTTACATTTCTGCACAGCTACACTGCTCTTGTTTCGTCAATATGAAGATCTTTCTGTGTGTGGCATCTTTCTCAGGATGATATTTCCTGTTCCAATTTTATGAAGTTCTCTTTCTTTATGGTGCGTCAATGTGAGGTGTATTTTCCCTGTAGGCCATCCATTTTTCCAAGATTCATTTTACCGCCTTGCCCTTCTAATATATTTTCTGGCTCGTCATTTCTATAGGGACGGCTTGTTTCGCCGGGTCACTATTAAGATTCCTGTTTGTGTTTCATTTCTTTCCTGACGATAGTTTCTTCTTCGGGTTTTCTGATGAGGTTTCTTAATCCATGTCATTATGGGAATTCCTGCTCGTGTGGCATCTTCCTTAGGAAAAATTTCCTTACCGCGTTATATTCATGATATTCTTCTGCCTCGCTGCTTTTTAAAGATGGCTCTTCCTTCTACTATGCTACCGCGAAGATCTTTTCGCGAGGCCTTCTTTTCATGAAGATATTTCTCTTCCG